AATATCCTAATGAAAATTCTAAGAAATGATAATGAAAAAGCGCAGGAGCCTAATGAAATATCCTAATAAAAATTCTATGAAATGGTAATGAAAAAGCGAAGGAGCCTAATGAAATATCCTAATGAAAATTCTATGAAATGGTAATGAAAAAGCACAGGAGCCTAATGAAATATCCTAATGAAAATTCTAAGAAATGATAATGAAAAAGCGCAGGAGCCTAATGAAATATCCTAATGAAAATTCTATGAAATGGTAATGAAAAAGCGAAGCAGCCTAATGAAATATCCTAATGAAAATTCTAAGAAATGATAATGAAAAAGCGCAGGAGCCTAATGAAATATCCTAATGAGAATTCTAAGAAATGATAATGAAAAAGCGAAGGAGCCTAATGAAATATCCTAATGAAAATTCTAAGAAATGGTAATGAAAAAGCGAAGGAGCCTAATGAAACATCCTAATGAAAATTCTATGAAATGGTAATGAAAAAGCGAAGCAGCCTAATGAAATATCCTAATGAAAAGTCTCAGAAATGATAATGAAAGGGCCAAAGAGCCTAATGAAATACCCCCATGATATCTCATTATCCTTGCCTATAACTTATGAAAGATTCCAGTGACAAATTGAATGAAATAGATGGGCAATCCTAATGAGATGCCTTTCATAAAACCTGTGGCATTATACACAATGGCTCTTGGACAGTTGTCATAGATTAATCATAAATAGTGGTAGCCACTAGTGCTGCTCCGGGATTGTGATGCTGATAATGATCGGGGGGGGCTTCGGGTGCTTGATCGCCACCGTGACGGCTGTCGTCCACCGCACCATCTTCAACCATCCGATAACCAGCGCCACAACATCCTGGTTGCGCATTGTGATCACTATGGTGGCAGCCTTCGGGTGCTTGATCGCCACGGCTGTCGTCCACCGCTCCATCTTCAACCATCCGATCACCAGCGCCACAACATTCTGGTTCGGGGTTGTGATGCTGATCACTATTGGGGCGGCCTTCTGGTGCTTGGTCGCCGCGGCTGTCGTCCACCTCACCATCTTCAACCATCCGATCACCAGCGCCACAACATTCTGGTTCGGGACTGTGATGCTGATCGCTATTGGGACGGCCATCCTCCGTTATCCTCAGTGGCCAAGATGGAGGAAGCTCTTGGATATCGATATCGTCCAATGCCTCTAGGTATCTCATTTCCTTTCTCTCCGCTAACAGGGCGTCATTACAAAGTAGTAGGAGGGGACTTTTGACACATACCCGCGTGGAACCATTGACGTTCACTTTTTGTAACACCGCCCAGCTTCTCCCATGGAACCTGCGCAA